GGAATTTGATAACTGTGTCGCAAGATTGTATCTCTAATAATTCAATTAATATAGTGACTTCAGTCGGCGGTTATGAGTCGAATCCAGAATTTTTAACGGCTGATACCATTGATTTTTATAAACTCGCTGAAAGAACGTAAAAAGGAAAATCTTTTGATCATTATTTCGTGATTCGACCGAAATTTTTGTAAATTAAGAATCCGAAATCATTATTTTTGGCAGTATTAAGACTACGTACGTTTTAATATATTGCCTTACACAGTATATAAGTAGAATTAATGTGTTAAAATCTTTTTAATTTCATGCACAATCAAATAACCATGTTATTAAGAAATGATACGGAACTTGATTAAATTATTATAAATGCAGATTTCGTATTTTATTAGTCCGTCGCTTCTCTCCGGACTATATACTCCTACGTACGGTGACACCGTTGTCCGTTCGCTCACAGCTTGGAGTCGATGCGGATTTGTGCTTCCGTTACATTACATTTGTGCTCCAGACTTAACAACGGTTTCCGAAATCGTTCCCTAGTTAGTATTATAATAATGATTTTAGTATTTCGCTACAGAAGGATGATGAATATTTGAAACATAAAGGTGTGTTAAAAATAACTTTAATTAAATATGTGATCAGAAAACTTTTATTAGGTAATGATTTCCAAAATCCGAAACAAAGGTTATCGTTATTCATTATTTTGATCATGTCCGTAAAGATCACCTGATCGACAAACCCCCTTGATTATCACCGGCTAATAAAGATAATCTTTATACTATACACTTTTATAAAAAAAAAAATTAACTTTTTCAAATGATTTATATTTCGTATAGATGAGGAATACAATTACGGTAAACTTTTCTTTAACTTCAAAAAAAAGAAACTTGGCAAATATTAATTTTCGCGGTTATACTTTATTCACGTTTGAATATAAAGCAGCTATTTAATTGCGAAATCGATTACCAAATTATACAATTTTAGAATGACTAACATAAAAATAAAATTCTGCGTGAAAATAAAAAAATTGAATATTATGTAATTAATATATAAGTAATAGAAAAATTAATTTAAAGAACAAATTTCTTTCAAAGAAAACGTATCTATTAAGGAAAATAATCATCTATATTTGAAAATAAAATTAAAGGATGAAACGAAATTCATATTTTAGCATTATTCGATAATATGAAAAGTATGAATAGAAATATTGATTCGACAAAAAGGAATTCTCATAAAATTGCGTGTTAAAATTTAGATTTCGATTATAAATGACAGAAGAATATTAGTTATATCTATGCCACTTATCATTATGTTATGTACTATTAAAAATTAGGTTGTTGTTATAAATATTAATAATAAGATTTTAAAAGAATAAAAAAAATAAAATATTTTTTTTCAAATTATAGGAGAAAACAAAGCTTATAATTATTTTAAATTATTAAGAAAAGTATGATATGAACCAACCGATATTAGCAAGAATAAATAGCAGAAGTGCGGATCTATAATAACATACAAATAATATAACAATGCACGGGATGACAACAAAAGGATATCTTATTTGCAATAACCCTTTTTACCTGCCAATCTAATTATATTTACCGAATGAAGGTTTAGTAGAAAGCACTTCCATTAAAAAATTGATTTAACAGAGGATTATTTATAATTTGTGGTGGAAGGTTGGCTATCCGATTTAACGTGTCTTGGTTGTTGATGAATTGAACGCGCCTCTGGAGGTTTATTCGACATATTACTCTATTTGTTCTTATAGTTTGTCTTCGTTGATTTCGTCTTCTTTGATACATTTCGTATATTATAGTTTTAAGTAAAAAAAGTGTGCAGAACGTATTAATTTTATACGAAATTAAAATTTCATATATTGATACAAATGTATTATGTAACAAAAAATTACTAATTATTTTGATATGATAATCTATTTATATATAAATTCAAGAATAATCCTTTCCTTGTCATGATTTTATATAGATTTTACATTAAAAAAAAAAAAATTTAAATTATAATCATAAAGAATAAGATTATGTCTTTATATAAATCAATTATTATTTGTTTAGATAAATAGGTAAATTCGATAATGGATTCAAACCAATTGGGTTAACAAATGAGTTTCGCGGAATTTACGCGTGAAATCTTAATTTAACCAATTCTCGCATCTCGCATCGATAATTTTACTTGCTAACGTATTAATTATCGGTACGTGGATGACTCCTTTATTTCCCAAAACGATCATTTACAGTAATTATTTTGAACAAAAATATATTGATATTAATAAGCATCGTAAAATTTATAATAAATAACGAAAATTTTCAAAAAAATATTATTTTATAATTAATAATATATAATAAGATTATATAACGAGTAGTTAATAATTTTGGAAAACTAGAGTTTAATTAAAATGAAGAAATTCTTTGAGCATTTTTTCGAAAAGAAATATATATATTTGGCGACCTTAATTAATGAAAACGAAAAGAAATTCGGCATTAATTAATTTTTTGCTATGATAGATTACTAATTACACTGAGCAATCTTACCAAAGGTGATCTCTAATTTTCTATTATATGTATTGCATTGGATAAAGTGGTGACAAAAAAAAACTATCAAGACTGCTCAATTTAAAATTGGCTTAAGAAAAATCAACTAACAATGTAACCATCACGATAATCACGGTGAAAAAATAATGTTATTTAATTAATTAAGACATTAATATAGAACCATTTGCGATTCGATTAACAATGTAACGAATTTGTTTTTTTACATTACAATAATAAATTTTCTTGATATGTATCTATAATTCGATACTGCATAAATGATAAACATTGTAACAATAAATTTGATGAATCGACTTAATTTAAAAAAATATATGCATATTACATGTTGCTTGGCACGAAATTTTTTAATTTTGAGGAATCAAGAAAGTTATATTTATATTTAAATTCGACTTCAACTTGATTGTGTTAAACAACATCACTTCGGACTTTGAAGGAATTATTTGTGTATCACAATGTTAATCCGTAGAAAGGGGTATGTAACCACTTTTCTTTAACGTAAAAATTATTGATTCAATGAGCCAAATAAAAAAATTTTTTGTACATTACTCCCTTTAGTATTAACTTTATCTAGTAAATCTTCATATGCATCTAGAGAACCTACAAAAAGGAAGGTGAATTCAAGAAAATGATATCACTCTTTATTTGCATTGTGTGACTTGTACAAATATTATTCAATGAAGGACAAAATATTATTTATTTACATAAGATCACGAATTTTCGGGTAAGACAAAATAAGAAGGGCCGATAATTGAAAGGAAGGTGTCCGATAATGACTTAGAACAAAAAAAAAGAACCTTTCTTAAATCATGAAAGCATTTCTTATTTAAGTAAGTGAAAAATAAAAATTTCTAAATGCTCTTTGTGAAATTCTTTATATTTATAATATATAATATATATATTCTTTCTAAATTAATAATAGTGATTATTAATATCCATTGACTTTATATCTCGATGTGAGAGAATTATAAAGAAAAATGTCTTGTTCATTTCGGAATAAAATTAAGTACTACGAGTAATCTACTAAAAGCGAGGGCTTTGTTAAACACGTCTTGCATTTTTTTTTTTTATTGGTTTCATACATTTTCTCAAATCCCTGGTCCTACCGCAGTAAACCTGACCAATAATTATCTATAGATGGATGAAAAAGGGGAGACGATCATAATTTTATACTATTAACATTCCGAGCTCCGACATTCTCTTATTATGGTTATCTCTTATTATGGTTAAATGATTCTTTTCAAGGAAGGCTTACATTTATCGTTATCGCTGAAACAAATTGAAGCCTTAATAAAAGTAGGATGGATATTACATGAGTAATCACGCTTCAGTTCCATATTTATCCACCGATCGATGGTATGAATGAATTTCATTTTTTGATAAAAATTCTAGATTTTCATATAAAGAGCAATCTAAAACATTAAAAACAAAGGCAAAATAAAGAAATCTACCATCTATAATTTAATAGAAAATTCTTAGATTACACGCAACTTCTTCATTTCCTAAATTGTTTCCGTTGGAAAACCTTTCTATTAAGATCCGGACTTTATCAACTGCACCAAATGAATTTGTGTAATGCAAAAAGTAATTAATTTGTATAACTTTTTCATATTTATTGAGAACAATACTGTGTTTAACAAATAATCAGAGTAATTATAAATCCAAATATATCATTGTTAGACAACTCCTGTCGAATTGGCCTTTCAAATTGAGTTTTTAAAAAAATCAACTAGATCAATAAAATGAATTGATAAAGATCTTTTAAGATATTAGACGATTACCGTTACGAATTCGGGGATCGGCAGAAATTAATTAAAAATTCGGGTAATAGATTTTTTAGTAATACAATCATGTGTATGGGGTACACATGTTTTCCTTTGGAATAACGTATGATTAGCAATAGAAAATCATAAACGTTATCGGCATCAACTTTTTGAATTGATTATGCCGACTTTCTTCAAGCAAAATAATATTTACGCGTGAAAAAAAAATACACTGTAAAATTAAATGATACACAATATAAAGAAAATCTTGAAGGCCGATTTTATATAACTTTTTTTGATCTTGTAAGTATATTAAAAAAAAATTAGATCATCTATATTTTATAAATCTATCAAAATCTAAATGTGAACCGTAATAAATAGCGCAATCGGCTGATTAAATCGATGTAAATTTGTTACCTAAATCGATACCGGATGATTTGGTTATAAAAATTTATCCTAATTAACTTTACGTTATACTGTTTATTTATCCGTTAATTTTTCAATTTTACAATTATTCATCACAGAAAAGAGTTATGGAATATTGTTTCACTCGTCTTTAAATATAAATACACGAGAAATTTTCTTACTTATCTTTTTTAAAAAAAGAACATAATAAAACGATATTTCCAATAATATAAATAAATGTCATCAAACATCTTCTTAAACATTATCACGCCTAATAATGGTGGAATATGTCCTTCAGGGTACGTTCAAAATCGACAAAGAAGACGACGAGGTAGAATGTCTCAGAGTCGCGATCAACACATCAATATTCAGAGCACGTTAGATCGAATTGCCAACCTTCCTATACAAAATACAAATGATATATTAATATATGAATTTTTCAATGGATCATTATCTTTTTAAATAAATTTTCACATCGCTGTCGTAATTATGCCTCGTGCAGATCATCTAAGAACATTTAAGATTACGAATGTTAGGAATAAGAAATGAGGTGAAATATCATTTACTGTATTGTGATTTAATATATAAAATTATAGGACGTTTAGTATATTCAATATCAACTACTTAAACAAAGTGAACGAAATAAAGTTGAGTTGATAACCTTAATAACTTAGATTATTCAAACCATACATATATATTTTAGCTTCACGGTTAACGAATTTGATCAAATATTTCCATTTAATCATCAAATTTTTAGGATGATATTTTGGATGTCAAAATAAATGATTGGTTCTGTAGTAAAGGGAAAAGGATTATTTATTATGTTTATTTAGTTGGTTGATTTTAGTCTATCATTCTTCATGCCGACTTATATCACCTCGAACACAATATTTTTTCAAAAAAAATAAAGAATTAATGACGTTTCTGAAATAAATAAAATATTCTTATCCCATCCAAAATGGGACATTATTTTGAGATTTTCACATGATAAATATAAATCATTGAAAGACATAATGGGTTATCCACGTTATTACAGATAAACAAACAAATTCCAACTTGATTCATTCGGATAGTTGCGCACAATTATTAAATCGTATACTTTTTTTTTTCTTTACGCCATACTAAAAAATTATTTGTTTGTTTTACGGATCTTTTAACTCGAATTATCTATGGTAAAAAAAAAAAAAATCCGAATTCACATAACGCTTACATTACGTTACACGAATCGACATACATGCATGTCATAAAACAACATTTTTTTATATATATTTATTTCCTTTTAAACCATTGAGAAAAACTTTTATTCTAGTTGCAAACGAACAAAATTAATTTAAATTGTCCTATTAAAATTATCAAATACCATTTTATAAATGTGCAATAAAAGAAATTTTTTTTTACTTGATACAAAATATGTACAAGTTAATTATGTTTACGTCTGTGTAATAATGCATAAACCCAAAAACGTAGATAAAATGAAAATCCATTAGTAATTTTTCTTTTTTTTTTCTCTTCTGAAATTTTTTATTATCATGTCTCATAATGATGAAAAAAATATAAGCGAATGCATTAATTGGATTGAACATGCTATCAATGACAAATACATTAAATTGTATAATTATGATCAATTTACTAATATTAAGACAATTGGCACCGGAGGATTTGCAAAAGTATATTGTGCAATTTATAAAAATAATATAGAGCAACCTTTGGCATTAAAGTCTTTTTTCAATCTCAACGACACTACCGTGAAAGAAATTGTTCGCGAGGTGAATTATGAGTTAAATGATTCTAGTTTTGCCCTGTTTTATCGTTACTTAAATTATTTAAAAAATTTATAATCTAGCTTAAACTACAACGTGAAGCAGATTTTAATGATAATATCGTTCGATTCTATGGTATAACAAAACCAGAAAGTGGATCAAGTACGAATTCCTGATTTTTATTTTATTTTATTAAAGTTACATATAAAATTTTAATGAAATCAATTATTTCTTTTTTTTTATCGGAAAAATCAAAATTATCGATTGAATAGCGTATTGGTTAGTAATGGAATATGCTAATGATGGCACTCTTCGAAAATATTTGAAGAAAAGTTTCGAGAGTCCTACTTTTACTTGGAAAGATAAATATGCCTTGGCAAATCAATTGGCTGGCGCTGTCTTATGTCTACATGATGAGGGAATTGTGCATCGTGATTTGGTAATTCGTATTTTTTTTTGTTAAATTACTTTTTTTTTAATGAATTATAATTTATTGTTCTGAACAATTTTTTTTTTTTTTTTTTGATAGCACTCCAATAATATATTAGTTCATAAAGACCAAATCAAGTTGTCCGACTTTGGATTATCAAAAAGGATCGGAGAATCTTCCAATGTTCAATCACAAGTATTTGGTGTGATTCCTTATATTGATCCAAAAAGATTCGAAGGACAAAATCAATATACTTTAGTTAAAAAAAGTGATGTTTATAGTGTTGGTGTGTTGCTGTGGGAGATATCAAGCGGACGTCCACCATTTTATACGGAGGGTAAACATTATGAAGTCTGTTTGGCTTTGGAAATTTTAAATGGACTTAGAGAAAGTACTGTTCCTGAAACTCCCATTGAATACGCTAAACTTTATAATGGTAAAATATGTTTATTACAATTTTATTTTTATATGGTAGAATATTGATATTTTTGATTTTTCCGTTCATATCCATGTTTTTTATTTTTATCTTTAGAATGCTGGGATAGTGGACCAGAAAAACGACCTCTTATGAATGAAGTCGTTGAAAGGTTAAGAATGATTTCACAATCGAATAATACATTTGACTACCACCAAATTAAGAGATTTGATGATATAACTGATCGATCATCATCATCAATTGAGAATACATCTAATAACGCTCACTCACAAGGAGATATATATAATATCGCTCACTCACAAGGAGATATGTCTAAAATGATGATGGGTGAAATGAATAGTTCCGATTTAGCTAAATATGATGACAAAATTTCATCTAACAGGGACGAAATAATTTTAAGTGATAACTTAGAAATTTCATCAAAAAAGGATTTAAATGAGAAAATTGATGACATTGTACAATTTATTTATAACGGACTAAATGAGGGGAAAATTTTTACACTGATTGAAAAACCAGTCCTTAATTTTATCATCAATCAAGGTTTTGATTTACAAGAGATTTATAATTGGATTTCAAATAATCAAAATAATTCAAACAATCTTTTTCTACTTGGATATTTTAATTTCTTTGGAATTAAATCAAGTAAGAATTATGATAAGGCATTTGATTCATTTAATAAAGCTTCAGAAGATCATACGTTAGCACAATGCTATGTTGGAAAATGTTACGAAAAAGGATACGGCGTTGCAAAAGACAAAAGGTTGGCCTCCGATTATTATAAAAGAATTGCCGATAAGAATTTTACAACTGGACAAGTATATATTGGTTATTTTTATAGAAATGGAATAGGCGTTAATAGGGATTTTAAAATGGCTGTTCATTGGTATAAAAAGGCTGCAGAGAATGGAAATATACATGCTATTTATAATCTTGGTAATTCTTATAAAAATGGAAAAGGCGTTGAAGAAAATTATGATAAAGCTTTTGAGTTATTAAAAAAATCCGCGGAACAAGGAAATAATTTCGCTCAAAATGAACTTGCTATCCTATATGAAAATGGAGATGGAATTGAGAAAGATATAGACCAAGCAATTTATTGGTATGAAAAATCTGCTAAACAAGACAATTTAGAAGCGAAAAATAAGTTGAGAAAACTTTTAAAACCTAAAAATAAAAAAAAATGGAGTGATTCATGTAAAATCAATTAAAAATTATTTTATTGTCATAAACGTTTAGATCAAATTGAATTATTCAAGAAATTTTTTTCATACATATATTATTACTGTACATAATCATAATCTGTAAATTCAATAAATTATATACACTTTTTAAAGTATTTTATAATCAATATGATCTTACAAACATTCAAATGATTACCTGACTTATTTTTTAACGAAACTAAAACACAAGCACTTTATTAAATTTATTAATGCGCCATTGATGTGTTTTCTTCGTCTTTGGAATTAGTAATTCCAATTTTTAGGATCTATTCTACGGAACTTTTATGGTTAATTTCGCTCATTTATTCGTTTCGTCCCCTGTCAACGCTACGATTGGCGCAGCAACTGCGGTGCATATCAAAAATGTCTTTCGAGATATCAAATATGTTTTACATATCTTATTTATTTTTTTATCTGTTTTATTTATTATATTTATTTTATTTATTATTTCTATTATATTAGTTTTATTTGTTAAATTTATTATGTTTGCTAGTAAATTGAAACAACGATTTTGTATAAATAGGTCGGAAAGGAGAGAAAATTGCAAGTCGTAAAAGTCTCTCTCAAAGATTTAATTAGACCATTCTAGTTTGTGCTTGTAGAATTCCTAATTAATAAAGTTGTTTATTTTACCCTTTCAATCTTCTTTTTGTCTTCATAGAGGTTTTGATGCGATAACTAACTACACTAGCGAATCGTAATAATTAAATACTATATAAATTATACATCGGACGAACTAAATAAAAATTAGAAAAAGTGTTTATTAACTTGAGAAGGCAAGGAAAATTGGATCAACAATCGGGTCAACACAGGTAAGGGTCGTTCAATATTCGTATTGGAATGGACTGAAATATAATTTTATTTTATGGAATGGCAAATTCTTTAAATGTTTCACCTTGACTTTCAAAGTAGTTTTTAATTAAGACAAATTTTGTATTATTTTAAACTAAATTTGAGAATTTGATTTTTTTTTCTTTATATTTTTAAAAAAAGTGATGAAGCTGTATTATTAGAAGGTATTAGATTTTTTAAGGCTTTAATTATTCCTCTAGTTTTGGGTACAATCCTTAATTCTATCAGAAAATAAAATTTTGCAAATTTATAAATTATATAAATGTAAATATGGTATTAGCCTTTTTTATAATCTTAAATTCCAATTTTCCAAATTAGACATGATTTTATAGTTACTATTTTCCAAATAGCAATTTTCCAAATCTTTAATTCTAATTTTCTAAAAATATATTTTTGTTAAATAATATTTTTCTGAACTTATTAAATATTTAAATAGCACTTTAAATTTAGTAAAATTAAATTAATTTAAACTAAATTATTAATCTTAATTAATATGGATTCTTTACAGTAAAAAGATACACATTCTAATAAAAATTAAATTTTTACTTTATAAGTTAAATATGATTTTTCTTAATAAAATAAGTTAAAATTTAATATTAATTCAAAAAAATTTTTTAGTATTTTATACCTTTCTATTATAAAATTTAATAATAAATAAAATATGATGATTTATCATTTTATTAAAATAACACTTCTATTATTCCTTTAAAATAATATTTTATCATTTTATTAGAATGATTCTTTTATCATTTTCTAAGAATGATATACTATAGTTCTATGTGAATGATTTTTTTTTATTATTTCTTAAAATAATGATTTATCATTCTGTCAAAATGAAACTTCTATTATTCTTTTAGAATGATGTATATTGTTCTATTTAAACAATTTTTTTTATATTTCCTTTAAAAAAAATTGTTAAATTTTACTTAAGTTCATTCAACTTTGGTCTCGAGTTTTGCTTAACTTTGAACTTGACTTTGAACTTAAGTTTTGCTTAATTTTTGGCTTAAGTTTAGCTCGAGTTATCTTAAGTTAAGTCAGCTTACTTAACTTGACTCAACTTATTTGACTTGAAAGTTGACTTAGCTTATTTAGAACTCTATATAGAATTACTGTTTATATTAAGCTCAATTGCTTTATTTTTTAGAATTATTTCAGTAATTTTTTTAAATTTCAAAGCTATTTGTTTACAATATGTTCTCTTATTATATAATATTAATTTTATATTACTATTATATACTGATCATATGAATTTAAAGCTATGTATATAATTTTGTATCGTTGTTCAATTATTATAATGTATTTATTTTTCATAATTATTTTTTCTTCTTTTATTCAAAAAATAACCAAATAATGATTTATCAATCCTATCAGATTACATTTTTTGCTAAATATTATGACTGATAATAACTCAAATGATAAATAACAAATAACCTATTATTTTAATTATCAAATAATCAGTTATTTTAATAATTTTAAATATAATATATTTTAAAAAATATTTTTATTTATTTTATTTATTATAGTATAAATAAGTTAAATTTATTAAAATATTTAATTATATATATTAAAATTATATTTGAGTTCTGAACGAATTGATTCAAATTACAAATCAAACAAGTTTAATATAATATTAAACTTGAACTAAAATTAAACAACTTTTTAGTTTTATTTAATAAAAAAATAATTAAAAAATTCATTCTGATATAAAGATAAAAACTATTATTTCTTAAGAATGATAAAAGATCATTCTATTAAAATAATGAAAAAAATCATTTCTTAAAATTGATAAAGATTATTTTAAAGGAATAACAAAAAAATTATTCAAATAGAACAATAAAACAATTTGATTTGATATTCAAATATTTGATTAGAAAATCAAATTAAATATAAATTCAAATTAATAATTGATTAATTCAATCAAATTCAAATTAAAAAAAAATTATTTGATCAAATATGAACTAATCTTTGATTTGATTTGATCAAATTCAAATTAAAGTAACTTTATTTAATCAAATACAAATTAATCTTCAAATATTTGATAAATTTTATATAAGCATTTTTTACTAATATTTTAATATAATTAAAGCTTTCTATAGCAAATTTTAAATTTTATTATTATACATAAATTAGCAAAAAATTTTATTTGATCAGAAATTTTTATTAAAAATTAAAATTAATTATATTTATTGTTTGCAATATAAAATAAAAATAATTAAATGTTCGCAATATATATTAAATAATAATAAAAATAATAATAAAAAATGTTTATAAAATTTATATAAATAAGATAAAAAATTGTTCAATATAGAAAAAAATAAAAAATAAAAAAAGGCAAAATAAGAAAATTGTTTTTATATATATATATAAAAAGTTCACAAATATATAAAAAAAGAAAAAAAGAAAAAATCACAAATATATAAAAATAGAAAATTTTTTGTAAATACAGTATATAAATAATAAAAGAAAAATTAATCGCAAATATATATATAAAAAAAGAGAAAGGTATTTATAAATATATATAAAAAAGAAAGACAAAAGAAAAATTGTTTTAAATATATATAAAAAAAGAAAAAAAAATTTGCTAATATATAAAAAAGGAAATAAAAAAAGAAATAATGTTTGCAAATATATTTATAATAAAAGGAAAAAATATTTGTAAATATATATAAAAAAGGAAAAAAAAGAATATTTGCAAATATATATATGAAAAAAAAATGTTTATATAAGAAAAAAGAAAGAAAAAAAGAAAAATATTTGTATATAAAAAAAGAAAAAAAAAAATGTTCGCAAATACATAAATAAAAAAAAATATTTGTAAATTATATATAAAATAAAAAATAAAAATAAAAAAGAAAAAATTTATAAGATTATAACATTATTATTAATATTTATATTATTAATAATATTAGTGATAATAGTGTTATTATTGTTATTTTTATTATTGTTATTATCATCATCATAATTATTATCATCAATTATAATTATATCTGAAAAGAGTAGACTGGTTTTTCTCTCTCGTTATTTGCCTAAAAAATTTATTATAATTGAATAACTTTTGCATAAATACTCCTTTACATTAAAACAAAAGGATTTGAAATTATAATTAAAAATTTTTTTTACCTTCTCAGGCATCTTATTATTCTTGAACCTTTGCAGTTCTTTGTTGGTTATGATTATGATTATCATCTAAATAGTATTAAAATACAAATATAATTAATATTAAAGCACAAATCTAAATAGAAATAGAAATTTTAATAAAATTATTCTCATTTATCTGATAACTTCCAAAAGTGTATATTGAACTTATTAAAATATTTTCTGCTAGCCTGACTTTACTTGCCTCTTGAATCATTAGCACGTTTTAATCACAAGTTCTAAGAAAGAGAAAAAAAAGAAAAGAGAAAAAAATTTATTAAATATACTTATATAAAATACATGTTTTTTTTGATTATTATTTTGCTTACATTATATTGAAAAACTAAGAAACTGAATTTTTATTAACATTAAAACCCTGTAAATACAATTTCACAGGTACTATTTATATTTCTGATAACATTTTATCAAAATTTTTTTCGCGAGATACCTTCTATGTAATAGTACTTCTAGAAATATATTATATATAATTCATTTTAATAATTTAAAAAGCAATTTATACATATTTTTAAAATTAAATAATAAATAAAATATTTACTTGATTTCAGTTTATGCTTATTAATAAGTAAATATGTCAAATTATTAGACAATTGAAAATAAGCAGCAAAGATAATGTTTGAGGAATTTGCTGAAAACATTTTCTTGTAATTTAATTTTTGATTTAATTTAGTAAAAAATAAAAAGCAAAAAAGCAAAAACCTTACTTATATATTTGAATTATATAATATATATGAATATTACAATAATTGAATTATTCATTTAAACTTTTATTTTACAAAAAGCTTTTACTTAAAATATTTAATATGCCAATATTTTTGTATAAAATTTATATTATTTATTTGAAATTTATTTTGTGACATGAATTTTTTAATATATCACATGAAATTTCTATTATATTAGCATTAGAAGTTGGAACTGGATTTATTTTTTATATCTGAATTTATTTATTTTCAAAATTGGAACTAGATTTAATTTGAATT